CATAGCTGCTTCGGAAGCAGCAAATGAAGGAGTCTGGATGAAGGAGTTCATATCCGATCTAGGTGTCATACCTAGTGCATCGGGTCCAATGAAAATCTTTTGTGACAACACTGGTGCAATTGCCTTGGCAAAGGAATCCAGATTTCACAAAAGGACCAAACACATCAAGAGACGCTTCAATTCCATCCGGGATCTAGTCCAGGTGGGAGACATAGAGATTTGCAAGATACATACGGATCTGAATGTTGCAGACCCATTGACTAAGCCTCTTCCACGAGCAAAACATGATCAGCACCAAAGCTCCATGGGTGTTAGAATCATTACAGTGTAATCTAGATTATTGACTCTAGTGCAAGTGGGAGACTGAAGGAAATATGCCCTAGAGGCAATAATAAAGTTATTATTTATTTCGTTATAATCATGATAAATGTTTATTATTCATGCTAGAATTGTATTAACCGGAAACATAATACATGTGTGAATACATAGACAAACAAAGTGTCACTAGTATGCCTCTACTTGACTAGCTCGTTAATCAAAGATGGTTATGTTTCCTAACCATGAACAATGAGTTGTTATTTGATTAACGAGGTCACATCATTAGTTGAATGATCTGATTGACATGACCCATTCCATTAGCTTAGCACACGATCGTTTAGTATGTTGCTATTGCTTTCTTCATGACTTATACATGTTCCTATGACTATGAGATTATGCAACTCCCGTTTGCCGGAGGAACACTTTGGGTGCTACCAAACGTCACAACGTAACTGGGTGATTATAAAGGAGCATTACAGGTGTCTCCAAAGGTAGATGTTGGGTTGGCGTATTTCGAGATTAGGATTTGTCACTCCAATTGTCGGAGAGGTATCTCTGGGCCCTCTCGGTAATACACATCACATAAGCCTTGCAAGCATTACAACTAATATGTTAGTTGTGAGATGATGTATTACGGAACGAGTAAAGAGACTTGCCGGTAACGAGATTGAACTAGGTATTGGATACCGACGATCGAATCTCGGGCAAGTAACATACCGATGACAAAGGGAACAACGTATGTTGTTATGCGGTCTGACCGATAAAGATCTTCGTAGAATATGTAGGAGCCAATATGGGCATCCAGGTCCCGCTATTGGTTATTGACCGGAGACGTGTCTCGGTCATGTCTACATTGTTCTCGAACCTGTAGGGTCCGCACGCTTAAGGTTTCAATGACAGTTATATTATGAGTTTATGAGTTTTGATGTACCGAAGGTTGTTCGGAGTCCCGGATGTGATCACGGACATGACGAGGAGTCTCGAAATGGTCAAGACGTAAAGATTGATATATTGGAAGCCTATGTTTGGACATCGAAAGTGTTTCGGGTGAAATCGGGATTTTACCGGATTACCGGGAGGTTACCGGAACCCCCCAGGAGCCATATGGGCCTTCATGGGCCTTAGTGGAAAGGTGAAGGGGCTGCCCACAAGGGCTGCGCGCCTCCCCCCTTCCCCTAGTCCTATTAGGACTAGGAGAGGTGGCCGGCGCCCCCCTCCCCCCTTGGCTCCTTTATATACTGAGGTAGAGGCACCCTAGAACACACAAGTTGATCCACGTGATCTGTTTCTTAGCCGGGTGCGGTGCCCCCTGCCACCATATTCCTCGATAATACTGTAGCGGAGTTTAGGCGAAGCCCTGCTGCTGTAGTTCATCAAGATCGTCACCACGCCGTCGTGCTGACGGAACTCTTCCCCGACAGTTTGCTGGATCGGAGTCCGGGGATCGTCATCGAGCTGAACGTGTGCTCGAACTCGGAGGTGCCGTAGTTTCGGTGCTTGATCGGTTGGATCGTGAAGACGTACGACTACTTCCTCTACGTCGTGTCATCGCTTCCGCAGTCGGTCTGCGTTGGGTACGTAGACAATACTCTCCCCCTCGTTGCTATGCATCACATGATCTTGCGTGTGCGTAGGAAAAATTTTGAAATTACTACGTTCCCCAGCAAACGGGACATGGGAGATCACTGATTGTCCCTATGGTTGTAAACCATTGGGATGTAAGTGGGTGTTCAAGAAAAAGCTTAGGCCCGATGGTACGATTGAAAAGTACAAGGCTAGGCTTGTGGCCAAGGGCTATGACCAGAAAGAAGAGGAAGATTTCTTCGATACTTATTCACCTGTGGCTAGACTGACCACCATTCGAGTATTACTCTCGTTGGCGGCCTCGCATGGTCTTCTCGTCCATCAAATGGATGTTAAGACAGCTTTTCTGAATGGAGAGCTAAACGAGGAAATCTACATGCAACAGCCAGATGGCTTTGTGATAGATGGTCAGGAAAGAAAGGTGTGTAGGTTGCTGAAATCTTTATATGGCCTGAAGCAAGCACCTAAGCAATGGCATGATAAGTTTAATACAACTCTGACATCTGTTGGCTTCGTTGTTAATGAAGCTGACAAGTGTGTATACTATCGCCGTGGTGGGGGCGAAGGAGTTATACTATGCTTGTATGTTGATGACATACTGATATTCGGAACCAACCTCAAAGTCATTGAGGAGGTTAAGTCGTTTCTGTCTCAGAACTTTGAGATGAAGGACATTGGTGTGGCTGATGTTATCTTGAACATCAAGCTACTGAGAGATAATGAGGGTGGGATCACACTTCTACAATCCCATTATGTTGAGAAGGTGTTGAGCCGTTTTGGATATTCGGACTGCACACCATCTCAAACACCATATGATCCTAGCGTGTTGATTCGAAAGTCAAAAGGCATGGCTAAAGATCAATTGAGATACTCTCAAATCATTGGTTCACTGATGTACCTAGCGAGCGCAACGAGGCCTGACATCGCGTTTGCTGTGAGCAAACTGAGCCGGTTTGTTTCCAAACCGGGTGATGTACAATGGCATGCTGTTGAAAGAGTTATGCGCTATCTGAAAGGTACTATGAACTATGGACTTCACTATACCGGAGACCCGTCGGTACTTAAAGGGTATAGTGATGCGAATTGGATCTCTGATGCTGATGAGATGAAGGCCACAACTGGGTATATGTTTACTCTTGGAGGTGGCGCTGTTTCCTGGAAGTCTTGCAAGCAAACGATCTTAACGGATCGACAATGGAAGCATAATTAACAGCATTAGACACTTCTGGTGTTGAAGCAGGATGGCTTCGAGATCTTTTGATGGACTTGCCATTGGTTGATAAACCAGTTCCAGCTATCCTTATGAACTATGATAATCAAACTGTCATCACCAAGGTGAAGAGTTCAAAGGAAAACATGAAGTCCAACAAACACATAAGAATGAGATTAAAAGCTGTCAGAAAATTAAGAAACTCCGGGGTGATAGCGTTGGACTATGTCCATACGGCTAAGAATCTGGCAGATCCCTTTACGAAAGGGCTATCGCGTGTAGTGATAGATAGTGCATCGAGGGAGATGGGTATGAGACCCACATGAGTTGTCATGGTGGTAACCCAACTTATGTGATCGGAGATCCCGTGAAGTAGGACCTGGGAAAACAAGCCAGTGGTGAACTGAGGAGAGTAACTTTACTAACCCACTCCATTGGAGATGCAATACTCTCGGAAACTGTATGGAAGGATGATTACTGTCTTAATGTGTTCCAAGGCTTATATGTATAAGCAAGATGCTGTCCTACAGAGCGATCTTTGGAGGAACATACCTATGTGAGCCCGACTGCTAGTCACAGTCTATGAGATTGGGGTGATCTCTAGTAAGCTCATGAATAGGCCAGGAGTGTGACTTATATGCTCCACCCGAGGGGTCAGCCTTCGGCAGCCCAGTACTAGTAAGACATGTGGTGAAACTTCTTTACGCCAAACTGACAATTCAAGGCATAGTCCATTGTTCAGTTGTGAAGGAGTGTAGCTACTTGCTCTAGATTAAGCTCAACCTTAACAGGTCTTCACTGAAACACTAGTATATCAAAACAGCGTTTGGAACAAAGGACAAAGTGGGCCCCTGAGATCTGGTGGGGGATTGTTGAAATGTGAGATGGGCCTAGAGCCCATATGACAATTTCAGATTTGATCTCTAAGGGCCCATGTAGGTGGCATGACAAGGTGGTGGGAAGTTTAGTCCCACCATGCTAGTGGAAGGAAAGTTAGAGTGGTTTATAAGGATGGCTCTTCTACACGATATTGGAGCTTGAGAAGAGAAGAGGCCCTCGCGTGCTCCTCCTCCGCCGCCCGCCTCGCCACGCCTCGCCTCGCCTCGCCTTGTCACGACGCGACGCGGCGCGGCGCGGCGCGGGTTGCGGGAATGAGCCGAGCCGAGATCACACCTATGCGCTTATTTTTGCCAGTCACTAACGGAGAGGTTCTGACAGCAGGGCCACGATCTGAGACGTCAGATCGTGGGTTGTCACGGACTCGGACGTGGGTCAAGCCCACGTCTCTCCACGCGGTTGCGTCTATATAAGTGTGTTGTCTCCCCTAACCCTAGCCACCACGATCAGATCACATCTGCTCCACGCGAATCGCCCACCTTCGTTCCTTTGCTGCTGCTACCGCCGGTGACTCCATCCCGTCCTCCGCGTACACGGTCGACGAGAGAGAGGTCTCCGAAACTCCGTCTCTCTGGTTCCTGTACGGGAGAGAGACGAATAGATTTTTGGGAAGCGACTACGTGACTGCTCGCCTCCGATCCACTACTTCCTCTACGTCCGCGTCGTCTCCGTCATCACCATGTCCAGCGACGCCGAACGCGCCGCCGCCGATAAGACCGAGGCCGACAAGAAGGCTGCCGAGGACGCTTCTGCTGCTGCCACCGCGGCAGCGGCTTCTGCATGGCCTACTGGAGGGTATACCGTGTTTATCCCTCTTCTGATAATTTTTGTATTAGCAGTGCTAGCATCATGTGTAGATTTGTCTACTATTTGCGTAGTACGTGCTTGTTTAGATCTGTACTAGTATGTTGTTAGTTCTGTCAATGTCATGCTAGTTATCTACTTATGGATTAAATTAGTCAAAAAATTACCTATTTTCTTAGCAGCTCACCTCAGAGACGAACTCCTTCCATCCTTGTCGAGAGGTCTCGGACACCCTCTTGACGGCCACTTCACGGTTCATGTCGCTGAGGAACCCTTGGTAAACTGACCCAAATCCTCCCCTCCCGAGCGCCCTGTCGTCGGAGAAGTTATCAGTTGCAGCAGCGAGGTCGTCATAGGAAAATCGCCGGGGTCCGGCAGCTCCTTGGTGGAGCTCATCGTCCACGAGTTCGCCGCGGAAGAGTGCAGCCACCGCTTTCAGCGGTTGTTTGGTTTTCGTCATGGTATTGCGCCTTCGGCAGCGGCGGAAGATGAAGCAAGCCGATATGCTGAGAACAAGTAGCACCACGGCGATGGCGGTAACCGCGGCGAAGACCCCGAACGGCCCTCGTTGTTGGCGGCTGGACGCTGTGCCTGTCGACTGGCAACCGGTGCCGTCGATGAAGCCGTCGCCCTCGAACCCATCCGGGCATTCGCACCGGAACGCCTCCTGACCCGTGGTCGGCGCGGTGAACTGGGTGCAATTTTCTGTGACTGAGCAACGGCACCGCCCCGGCACCCACCAGTCGAGCTGCAGCGCGCCCAGCATCAGTGCTGGCCCCATTATTGTATCGCTGTAGCTTATCGACGACACCAGCCCGTTGCAGTCCGAGAGGAGCAGCTCGCTTTTATCCAGAATATGGTGTGCGGCGCCTCTGTTAGAAGGCGCGGGCTCGATGCATCTGATGGATCCGTTGGCGCTGCAGTGGGACGAGTTTCTGTCTAGGAAACGCTCAGCCGGTCCGCTGCTGCTGCTGTTGATATTAGCACGGTCGTCGCACGAGCTAACGATGAGGCTGTTCCCGGAGGAGGGAGCGTAGCTGTCCGAGAAGAGCGCCGCGACGGACGTATTGAAACGGCGGGAGCAGTCGGGTTGCAGGTCGAGGATGATCGAGCGCGGCGTGACGTTGCGCACGAGCAGTCCCAGCTCGCCCGCGCCCCCGAGCCACGCGGCGCCGATGCCGGCGTCGCATCCGAGCCGTATCGTGCAGCCGCTGGAGAAGCCGAACGGGTACGGCAGCTCCATGCCCCCGCATCTCCGATCGCATCCTCCGCCGACCGCCGCTCCAGCTCCGCGTGCCGCATGCAGAAGCGCCACCACCAGTACCACTACCAATACCAGCAGCGGCAGCGGCAGTCCGGCCGTGCCTTGCATATCTCACGGAATCCAGCTAGCTTCCGTCCGAGCAAGCTAGGCCGGCCGGCGTCTGGTCTTGATCCGTGACGAGTGGTGGTGCGCGCTTCTAGGGGTCCTACGCGCTTCCCTCGCCCCCACGCAGGGGCTGATGCTGCGCCTCTTTTGTTCTTTGCTGCTGCAGTGTTTGACAGGACAAACGAAACGACCACGCCCCTCCACTCATCCTGTGCAGCCTGCGCTCCGGATCTTGCACCACGGCTTGGTTTGTCTAGGACCGGTACAGGGTGATTGTTAACTACAACTCGCGAGGTTCGACCACAGTTGCTTACACAGACCTACTGATTACGCTGAGCATTTAGTCTGATGTTAACAGCACTGTTCAAGGACAATAGTAAACAGCTCTCAATTAGCCAGACATGGTGTTCACAACTAGCGGACGAGGGAGATTTCGAGAGCATCTGAGCCTGAGCTCAGAAACGAATATCGTGGCAACGACAGTCATACTTGTGTTAGAATTTTGAGGAAGCCGTATGTTCAGAACCCTAATGCATGAAGTGTGTTGCTTAATCTTAAATGGATCTGCATAACTGACACATTTAGCTGATGTGCATGGGCACATAACCGACACATTTAGCTGGGGTTTTTTGTCTGGACAGAATAAGAACTCTCCATCAGGGCGGGTAATAACTGTCTTCAAATAAATTCCATAGTTCAAAATTTGAACAACAACCAGAATAAATGCTGTTTTTACAGCAAACGTGGCCTGGGGACGGCTCAGCCTGGCACAGAAAAGGGACTGAGCCGTGGGTGGATTTTGTGTTCCCCTTGTACCTTAACAACTGCCGTTGCATTTAATGCATTCAGGAGCTGGATTTATTTAATTACGATACAACTGCTATACAGAGATGAATACACTGCCCAGCACATATCCCCAGGCTAGCGGACGAGGGAGATTTCGTTAGCATCTGAGCCTGAGCTCAGAAACGAATATCCCTATACTAAACCTCTTAACCCAATTTTGGTGTACTGCTCGCGCAGCACTGTACAAGGACAAAAGTAAACCAGTAGTCTTGGTTAATCACTACACGTTAAAATATATGATTATTAATTTATTATGATTTGACTCATTATATATCCTAAATGTTGCATCGTGCAACTGCAGTATTTTGCGAGTGGAAAGGATAAAACCACCAAATTCGTGTCACAACTCGCAAAAAAACCACCACAATTCAAATTGTGGCAAAATGCATCAAACACTCTCGTTGACAGAGGCAAAAGAAAAAACTAACGGAAAAATTGAGCTGTTTTTTTACGTGGCTAAGCGTCCACGTGGCGGCAGAGCTGACGGCGTGTTTGGTTGGAGCCTAGGGTTCAACCCAGTCGTCGTTCTGCAAGCATTCCCGCTCCCCGCGTTGTGCTTCTCTGCTACTCCCTCCCGCTGCTCTACTGCTTGCCGTCAAAATCTCTCGACCTTGTCACCGCCCAGCTGTCGGACGCAATGGTCTCTTGGAACGACGACGAGAACAGCAATGGATACCCGGCGGCGTTCGACTCTCACATAAGCTCATCTCTTCTTTGTCTCCCAGGTTAGGGTTAGGGTTACAAATACTTACAATTGCTTGTAAATTGGGGATTTACTGGATTTGTAAGTCGATTTGAACCAAAATTGAGTCTAATTGAGCAGCTCTAACCGGTTTGAGCTCAATACAGGGGTCTCTCACCATTCAAGACTCCGACTTTAAAGGCAATGTGGATTGGAGTGCGACCACAAGAGAGATGCTAAGAAAATTGTAGCTTTCGAAGTCACCCTCGCCGGAAGGAGGTTTTATGGTTATGCACAGGATGTAAGTAAACCCCCTATCCAAGGATGACAAAATTTTGTGAGTTCAAAAGCAAGTTAATTTACTGAAATATGAATTGTGCCCATTGCAAAGTTAATGGATTTAGTATATTTACCCAATTTCCATGGAATTTATGTAGATTTCACTGAATTGTGTCACATAACTGATGTTTTATGTAGTTGCAATCCTCTGTAAACATGAAACACTTTATGCATTGACCCGTTACCATTTTGGTTGGGTGTTGTACATTTTGTAAGTGTGCAAGTGTACAGTTGCTATGAATTCTTGATAAACTGTATTGTTAAGTGTTGTAAATTTTGGTAAGTGTTCAAGTAAATTTTGCCTCATCTTCAGACACTGCATTGTCGCTGTGAATTTCTATTCAAGTTCTGCATTGTTTAAAACAGGAATGCAAAGTGTTTGTTTTAATTGGAAAATGGGTTGTTCTTTCTTTCCCTGTAGCAGTTGTTGTATTTCCTGACAATTATTTAAATTGTGTGAAATGATTTCTCTTTTGCAATTAGGCAACTATGGCTATATTTAGGAGTTGACAAGGAGTCGCCTGAAGAAATGAAGAAGGCACTACAGAAGCTATGGGATCAATATGAAGAATGTAGGAGTTCTAGAATCCAAGAAGGGCTTGATCATGCAGAGGAAGTGCTCAAGCTCCTAGACAAGGTTAAGCATTTGGATGCGAGCACCACGAGCCTATTTTCACGCCAACGGACGATAAGGCAGCCCCTCCACTCTCTGCTCCATGCCGCCATCGGCCCGCGCAGGCGCACGAGCCCTCACCTCTTCCTGAGAAGAACTTCCCATGCTGCCCAAGCCCAGACCAGAGACCAACGAAGTGGCCCCGCCGCCACCAACGCCGCGCAGGCTTTGCCCGGCGACGCTAACCGATGGCGGCGAGGGGAGGAAAGGTGAGGATTGCGATTGTCAGTGGCGTCTAGGGTTTCCTCCCGGGCCACCGCGAGAGTGACACGAGAGGCCCCATCGACCCGTGCGGCCGGGGGAAGCCCGACACAAGGGTTGTCTTGAGAGATTTACTTTTGTCTTCTTGAGTGTTCTTCTTCCCCCTTCCAAGTGTGTGAGACTGAGCCAAACTAGAATTCTACCCTACATTAGGCCCCCCTCCTCTCGTCGAGGAGCATCGGCTCTTCCTGATACGCGACCTTGGACGCTTTCCCCTCTCCCGCTACAGTATAGGCGAATTTCTGAACCCGCTCGACAGATCCACCTCACCGCCGGCAAAGCGCCGGTTCCCCCTTCCTTCGCCGGCCGCTCAGGCGGCGGGAGGATGGGGGAACCTCGTTTCTCGGTGTGTGTGTGTGTGTGTGTGTGTGTGTGTGTGTGTGTGTGTGTGTATAGCGTAGGCTCTGTTAGGTTCCTAGCCGGCGGCGTCCTGGAGATGGAGGCGCGGTCGGAGTTGGTTTTGCAGGTGGCGCTCGGCATCTTCGGCGGTGGAGCTCGGTGTAGCTTCACGGCGGAGCACCTCCTTCCTCGCGCTCGCGGTCCCCGGTGGCCGTCGTGTGCGTTTATCCCCGCACTGGAGCTCGACGCGGCGGCTCCAGATCGAGATCTTGAAGCGACTGGTGTTCAAGCAAGGCAGCGTTGCGGCCGGAGGAGCAGGATGGAGGCTCTCCGGAGTTCGAGGACCGACGACTTCCCGTCCGCCAGGGGACATCTTCTGATCCAAGGCTCGTGTGAAGATGCGGCGGCGGCGCGCCATCGGAACGTGCTGTTCCTCGTCGGCGGTTCCGCTTTACAGGGGGACTTGGTTGTAATTTGTATCTTTGTGGAGGTCCTTTCTGTAAAATCCTTGCTTTAATATATCAATGGTTTCCCGCAAAAAAAAACGAGGAGCATTCTCTCCCCGCTTCTTCCTCATATCAGTCGTCCCGGGTGGGAGCACGTCAGGATGTGCATGAAACAGGGTAAGCCAGACATGGGCTCATCATGTCCTTCAGGAAAGGAACAGACTCAAGAGACGGACAGAGATCCAGCGCCTTGCCCACAGCAAGGCACGGCGTAACTGGTGGGCGGGCAGCCGTTGGATGCAAGGGGGCGGCTCAGATTGAGTGATGTAGCGCGAAACAATGTAGCTGACACTGCAGACCAGGGTGCTGTGGATAATCTCGTGTAGACAAGTCACTGTAGCTCGGGGTACTGTTCACGCGGATCTGTCCGTTGACCCTCGATCGGACGGTGTGGAGAGAGGAGCCAGTCACCATACTGTTCACCGGTGACTTGCTCATAACAAGTCACTGGATCTCAATCCCAGACTCAAAGGAGTAGATGACCTCCAGCAGCCTACGTCACAGCACGTGCTGCCATGTCCCCTCTTCGTAGGTCCAATAGGGTATAAAATGAGATGGTGGAAACATTTGTAGGGGAGAGTTGAATAATACGGAAGAACACACTAAGGCAAGAGTAGGATGTTACACCGCTACAGTTCGGAAGAACACACTAAGGCAAGAGTAGGATGTTACACCGCTACGGTGGGCTGAGCCTGGTAATAAACTTTGTCGCGTGCCTGGAGTAATGAGTGTTTAGACCCCTGTCCGAACAATTAATAAACTTTGTCACGTGCCTGGAGTAATGAGTGTTTAGACCCCTGTCCGAACAATCTAGAGTTGCATCGTAGCTCTGATCTCGACGATCACCCATCAACATGGTAGGACAAGATTCTCACTCACAATGCTCAACTTGTGAAAGCCCTGCTTCTTGTTGTATGGGAAATTTGAAAGAAAAGGAATGCATGCATTTTTACGAACAAGACGGCGCCGGTGGCAATCATCACATGAAACATCAAGTGTCTCCTTCGGCCATTGCGTGGGCCAAGAATTTGAGTAATATAATGCCACGAAAGTAATTCAATTAGGCTATTGCCGTTTTGCAGCTAGTGTGTAACAAAATTCTCTCTTTGATTAATAAAAATGGCAAATGTTTCACCTTGTTTTCTTTCTTTTTTTTTAAACTCCCATTGCACCGACCGCCCAAACGTGCTTTTCATACTCCCTCCATTCCAAAATATAAGCTTTTTAGATATTCTAATAAAGGCTACATACAAAGCAAAACGAGTATGTAGTCCTTATTGAAATCTCTAAAAGGAATATGTAGAAACGGAGAGAGTAGTAAACTGTGGACAAACCATTTGGAATGAATTGTGAGCTGTAAAAAAAAGCTGTCGACAAAGCGGATGGAATAACCTTTTTGTCGTAACACACTTTCATCAACGTGGAAATGGTGCTTCACCAGCCACAAGTCATCTAAGACAACTCCATCCCAAGTTGCGTGGCACAAGAGCATAAGCATGGTTTCAAATAAACCTAACATGGAAGTCACACTGGCACCCGGTACTGCTATACAAAATCGCCACGTCCCAAACAGAGAGGGTGGGTCTATCATCCATGGCTACGTAGGATGCACACTAGACGTCTTGCATATTCCAGCCAACGATTCTCGTCTCTCACTTGCCTAGATGAGTCAAGATCCTGCTGATGATGGCGTCTTTCTTGCCAGAAACTGGGAGGCCATGCGCCGTCAGGTAAGTTTTCAAATCCATCACCGTCATGTCCTTCAGCTGCAAATTAAAGATTCAGAATTTTGCAAAACAAACGTTGCGTGGTTAACTCAAAGGTTTGGATGAATGGCGTCATTCAGAGAGATCAATGGGAACAAAATATTCAAAAATGTCATTCATGTTTCAAAGGTGCATGCATAGTTTGACATGTATAACCTTCTCATTTTCTGCGGATCACTTTTCAACAAATCAATGATTCTTGTGGAACTATAGTTCCTAAAATGCCAAGATCTGGCATATTACGCTCACTAGTTTTGGAATTACAGCATAGGTTGTAGAGTGGGCGACTATCAGAAGACCAATTTATCCATCAACAGTTTGCGTATTGAGCATTTTTTCATGTATGTAAACATAATCTTTGTAATATAACCTGACTACTCACCTTCCCATTATCTGCAAGGTCTGCCCAATCATAGGCCGCGCTTTTCTGTGAAGCTGCATCAGCAATTGCTTTCCTCTTCTTTGAGGCCCCACCTTTTGCTGCTGCTGCCTCAGCTTCCTCTTGGTCATAATTTTCACCAAACACTGCAGCCTTAAATTCTTCTATAGCTTTAACTACTCCTGGCCTAAGATAAGAGTACAGGAAATATTCCACGATAAGGTACAGGACGACTGTTGTATGTTTCTTTTATAATACAAACAATATGTTTGATAAGTAAACCTTCAGCTTATTTAAGCATGCCGTAGATTGTGCTTTCTTATATAAAGAATAAAAATATCTTCAGCATATTGCACTAAATTATGTTTTCATCATCACTGTCCCTGTTTGGATGCAGGAACACCAAGATGGTTGACTATAGTTATTCAATAATGTGCATTTGCAAGAAACAAATGGCGGAATTAGGACGTAGCATACACAATTGACAAAAAAAACATGTACCTAGCCAAGCCTTCTTCATCGGGCAGGGTCTCATCCTTTATATCCGGCATCTCATCCTCACCTAAAGCTAAGGCCTCCAAAATCCCATAGTGTTTTTGCAATCCTGTTCCATGACAGAACATAAACCACAATCGGAATAATGAGAAATCCACTGAATTTAGAGTCTGTGCATCAACTTAGTTCTTAATGCTCATTGCCATGCTAACCCAACAAGACATAGAGCTACAACACATCAGCAAGCAATCCTGGTCTATATAGATTGTAAGATAGTAAGAGGCAAATCTACCAGTGGAACACACACATAAGTTACGAGTAGTTCTAATAAAAACTAAAATCAATTCTAGGTAGTGATTTACCTGGGTTAGCAAAATGGCTTACTGAGAAATGCTTCAGGTCAATACGTCTCAACAGATTCGAAGCTTTCTTTATTTGCTCATCTGTAGCGCGAGGTGCATCCCCAGAAGTCAGATGAACCTGCACATAAGTGTAAATCATTCTGTTGCTTAAGAAGGGAAAATACAAATGCAGCACCAGTGGTTACCTCTTCAGGATATCTAACATCATCCGAATATGGAAGATAGATCATGTGCATTCCAGGTGGCTCATCTTGACCACTCAAAGAAATAACCTCTTCCTGTTTTTCAGTCCCAGTGTTCATTTCGGAAAGGAAAATAGTTGGAGTTATGAAATTGTAAATCCAAGAAGTACAGAGCCACAGACAGAAAAATCATGACGCATAATACAAAAAAGTGGAATGTGATGCAGGAGTAGATAATTTTCACACCATCCACTCGAATTTTATCCTACAAGTGAGAAATGGGGAGAAGCTGGAACATGAAAGATTGTAAACATGGGGATTCCGTAAATATCCCATTTCAAAAATCGAAACAATCAGGACTTTTCGGAGATTGGATGCAGTTACTAATTCATGATCTGGCATGTACAGAATGAAAACTTCATTCTCGATTCTACGAGAATTTTTATGAAAGCGTTTCATTTGCTTCTCTTCAATGGAAGTTTCATTTTCCCAGAATGTATCCTAATTTTTGGCCTAATTCTTCTTCTGATGATCGATTCAACCTCTGATCAAAAAGATAGACCTTGGTTCTATTTCATCTCTTCAACAAGTTTAGTAGTAAGCAGTATCACTACAAGAGGTGTTTGTAGAGCCAAGTCATTTCAGGTTTATTACAGATTACCTCATTATCTCACTGAGAAATATCGAAGTAATTAGTTGAATGAAGCAAGTAGAAAATTTTCAGGGAAACGAAGCAAGAAGATTAGTCGTTTTTGTTGACGTAATCAAACCCAGATATTTCAGACAGTGCTGTGGTTGCCCAGAGATAAGCTACCGTGTGATGCATAAAACAATCATGTTACACATCAACTTGCCAGAAATCATTTCTTATGGAAAATAAGAAGGGGTTTTTGTGTGCAATTAACACCATTTGCACTGTTACATTGAATAGATTTGTTCCTAAAGAGGTTGCTCATATCATACACGTAACCCACACTAGAAAGTTTACCATAGTAATCATTGCAAAACAAACATAAACATGGAAAATACATCTTACTTGTGCAACAAGGGCTACAAGCCGTGGGCGAGTTGGGGTCCCGTAAAACGCAAGTGCAAACCTGAAATCATACATATCATAATTCTAAGTTTGTAACACAGATCGTATAACCGTAAAAAGAAACACGAAACACTACATTTATGATGCTATAAGCGTGTGTACTCTTGTTACAGAACATCTTAGTCTATGCCCAGCCACTTGTTTGAATAAACACATGAGAACATGTACAACATGCAAGGTTTTCAAGTCAACAAGTCGTTCTGGGGTAGCGACTCTTCACTAGTCGTGCCGTGCCGATCGACTAGTCGAGGTGTATGAGTCAACTTCCAGTTCATTGACTAGTCGACAACTAGTCGTTCGACTCAAAAACAGGGACAACATGACACATGATAGCTAGTAACATAGAAAGGTTTGAAATGATGGGTTGCTACAGAACATTATGTTAGTAAGATAAGTGGTTATCTGTTGGTGTGGCCAAACTCTTATTGACTTTGGCACCTCCCATACAGAAAAAGAGACAAGTAAGTTGAACATACATGCCAAAACGACAACCTAAAAAATATATACAAGCCCGACAGAAGTTACAAGGAACCAATTAGACATAGCACAGGGAAAGCAGGTAAATGGCATTGACTGGGATCCTACAGTTTAGAAGAGTGCCACCCAAAAACCCATTTTAGATATATGACCTAAAAGAAATAACTTTCCCTGTTGTGTATCGTATCACCCATTACCATGCTTTTCACATCATAAGTCACAACTCTTTTATCCTTTCATTTTCCAAACAGCCAGCAAACTACAGATCAGATCATCAAAAATTATTTCAACAGAAGACACGACAAACAAACCCAAAACTTCAGCAAACAATGTTCCAACCACGTGTATTTGAATTCATTACTTGTCGTGAATAATATCTCAACATCATAACTGTTAGAGTTATAATATAAGTCATGTACCCCTTTATATTTATCTCGTTGTATGAGGGGTTTCCTGCATATGTTCCACACCTGTACATGTATATATATATCGGCCTATGGCCTCATGGGAATACAAGTTGCATATTCCTAACATGGTATTAGAGCTAGGTCAATTTTTTGCACGCTGCAACTCGTGCTTTTTGATCCGTCTGTTCGATCGAAGCAATCCGCTCGATCTCCTCTTCGTCTCTCGATCGAAGCAGGGGGCTCGTCCGCAGGAGCCCCCGATCTCCTCTTCAGCCAGCCGCTAGCAGGGCTTCTGCTGCCGGCCCCGTCCCGATCGGGTGTCTTCCTGCCGCTCGGCTGCCGGCCCGTCCCGCTCCCGTCCAGCCGGCGCTCAGGAGCCCCCGATCTCCTACCCAGCCGCCCGTCCCGCTCCCGTCCAGCCGGCGCTCAGAGAGCTCGGCTGCTGGCCTGTCCCGCTCGGGCGCCACCCAGCCGCCCTTCCCGCAGGCGCCCAGGGCGTCAGATCGGCCCAGGGGGCTCGTCCTGCAGGCGCCCTTGATCTCCTCTCCCGCCGGCTCTCGCTGCTCCCGTAGCAGCGCCTGATTCCGATCCGGTCGTTCTCATCGGATCTAAAAAAAAAAAAAATGTCTGCTGCATCGGGTTATGTTGCTGTTCCTCGCTGTCCGGTGATCTTTGATGGTACTAACTACACCAAGTTCACTGGCTTCATGCGCATTCACATGCGTGGCATCCGTCTTTGGGGTGTTCTTTCTGGCGAGGTCTGTTGTCCGCCACGTCCAGTTCCTCCGGTGGCCCCTACCCCGCCAACTCCATCGGTTCTTCCTACGGATGCTAATCAGGCTGCCAAGGATGCGGCTAAGGTTGCTGATGAGGTTGCTGATCGTGCTTATGATGAGAGGGTTTTGGCTTATGAGGAGGCTCTTCAGTTGTATCATGGTGCTCTGTCTGCTTACACCCAGTGGCTTGATGATGATGCCCGTGCTGCAGCTGTTCTCACTGCTAGTGTTCTGCCTCAGTTTGCTTCTGAATTTCTGGGTCTTTCTACTGTCTTTGAGATGTGGACCCGTCTTCGTGAGCGCTATCAGCCCTCTGGTGATGCCTTATACCTCTCTGTGATCCGCCAGGAGCATGCTCTTCAGCAGGGTGACTCTACTGTTGATGACTTCTATGCACAGAGTTCTGCTATCTGGCGTCAGCTTGATTCTCTCCGTAGTGCTGGGTGTCGTACCTGCCCCTGTTGCCAGGCTGTCCAGGCCAATTTGGAGTTTCATCGCGTCTATGAGTTCTTGTCTCGGCTTCGTAAGGAGTTTGAGCCCCGGCGTGCTCAGTTGTTTGCTCGTGGCCGTATTTCTCTCATGGAGGCGCTTTCTGAGATTCGTGCAGAGGAGACTCGCTTACGTGGTGCTGGTTTGCTGGAGGTTCCCTCTGTGCTTGCTACTCGTGCTCCTCCGCCACCTGCTCCATTGACCACTTCTCGCTCGAGTGCTCCGCCGCTCTTGCCCACTCCTTCTGGAGGCTCCGGTCGCCCCCGTCCACACTGCGCCTATTGCAACAATGATGGTCATCTTGAGTCTCAGTGCTACACGAAGAAGAAACACCTGCGCAAGGCTCGATCATCATCTTCAGGGACTTCGTCGTCTACCTCGACAGCTTCAGCCATTGCTTTGACTGAGCAGGATATTCTGAGACTTAAGCGTCTGCTCGCGGCTTCAGGTTCTTCCTCGACGGGTACTGCCGGTTCTGTGACTGATGCTTCCCGCACTGAGCAATCACCCTCTACACAGTCAGGTACATCCCCATGGGTTCTGGACTCTGGAGCTTCTTTTCATATGTCTTCTCATTCCTCCACTTTGTCCTCTCTTCGATCACTGGATTCTCCTCTTCATGTCTTCACTGCTGATGGTACTCCACTTTCTGTTGCTAGTAGAGGCAATCTTACTACTCCTTCTTATTCTGTTCCTGATGTTGCTCATGTTCCTCGACTTACCATGAATTTGTTTTCTGCTGGTCAACTTACGGATTCTGGTTGTCGTGTCATCCTTGATGTTGACTCTTGTTCTGTTCAGGACCGTCACACGCACACTCTGGTTGGGGCTGGCCCTCGCCGCCGTGATTCTCAGGGTCTTTGGGAGTTGGACTGGCTTCATGTTCCTTCTGCTTCTACCACCATCGCCAGTTCTTCCGCTTCTGTTGCCTCTGTCACTGGTTCCTTCCAGCAGTGGCATCATCGCCTTGGTCATCTGTGTGGATCTCGGTTGTCTTCTTTAGTTCGTCGAGGCCTTCTGGGGTCTGTCTCAGGAGATGTCTCTTTAGAGTGTCAGGGTTGTCGTCTTGGTAAGCAGATTCAGTTACCATATTCACATAGTGAGTCCGTGTCTAAGCGTCCTTTCGATTTAGTCCATTCTGATGTATGGGGTCCGGCCCCTTTCGCTTCGAAAGGTGGTCATAAATACTATATTATTTTCATAGATGATTTCTCTCGTTACACATGGCTTTATTTCATGACTTCTCGTTCTGAGGTGTTGTCTATTTATAAGCGTTTTGCTGCCATGGTTCATACTCAGTTCTCTTCACCCATTCGTGTTTTTCGTGCTAACTCCGCTGGCGAGTATATCTCTAAGATGTTGCGTGGTGTTCTTGCTGAACACGGGACTCTCTCTCAATTCTCTTGTCCTGGTGCTCATGCTCAGAATGGTGTGGCTGAGCGAAAGCATCGACATCTTCTTGAGACGGCTCGTGCATTGATGATTGCTGCCTCTCTCCCGCCTCATTTTTGGGCTGAGGCCGTCTCCACATCCACCTATCTTATCAATATACAGCCTTCCGCTGCTCTACAGGGTGGTGTTCCTTTCGAGCGATTTTTTGATCGTTCTCCCGATTATTCGATGCTTCGCTTGTTTGGTTGTGTTTGCTATGTTCTTCTTGCCCCTCGCGAACGCACCAAACTGACTGCTCAGTCTGTTGAGTGCGTTTTCTTAGGCTACAGTGATGAGCATAAGGGCTATCGTTGTTGGGATCCTATTGGTCGTCGGATGCGTATCTCTCGAGATGTGACTTTTGACGAGTCTCGTCCTTTCTACCCACGCCCATCTTCCTCGACTTTTTCAGTGCAGGATATCTCTTTCCTCACTTTTCCTGACACACCTATCACCCTCGCCGACACTGTACCTCTCTGTTCCACTTCCTCTCCTTCTCCACATCTCGTTGACTTGCAGTCACCTTCCTCCCCGGTCTCCTCGTCTAGCTTGTCACCGGGTTCTCCACCTTCATCTCCGGTGACTTCCTCTCCCAGTTTGTCACCGGATTCTACACCTTCATCTCCGGTGACTTCTTCGTCGTCACCCCCTGATTCTACCTTGCCGATTCCTCCTTCTATTATTCCATCTCTTCCTCAACATTACACTCGTCGTCCACGACCAGTTGATGCCTCCGTGGATGGGTCGTCATCTTTCTCTCAGCCTACTTATGGTTTGCGTTCTCGTCCTCGTCCGCCTGTTGATCGCTTTGGATTTCCCACTGCTGGTGCTGCTGTTCTTGAGCCGACTTCTTACCGTCAGGCTGTTGTTCATCCTGAATGGCAGTTTGCGATGGCAGAGGAGATTGCTGCTCTTGAACGCACTGGTACTTGGGATCTTGTTTCTCTTCCTCCCGGAGTCCGTCCGATCACTTGTAAGTGGGTCTACAAGGTTAAGACTCGCTCCGATGGTTCTCTTGAGCGTCACAAAGCCCGTCTTGTGGCTCGTGGTTTTCAGCAGGAGCATGGTCGTGATTATGACGAGACTTTTGCTCCTGTGGCTCATATGACCACTGTTCGTACCCTTCTTGCCGTTGCCTCTGCACGCCACTGGTCTATATCTCAGCTTGATGTTAAGAATGCCTTTCTTAATGGTGAGCTGCGTGAGGAGGTGTACATGCAGCCACCACCTGGGTATTCTGTTCCTGATGGCATGGTATGTCGTCTTCGTCGCTCTCTCTATGGCCTTAAGCAAGCCCCCCGCGCCTGGTTTGAGCGCTTTGCCTCTGTGATCACTGCTGCTGGTTTTTTAGCAAGTGCTCATGATCCCGCATTGTTTATTCACCTTTCTCCTCGTGGTCGGACTCTTCTTCTTCTTTATGTTGATGACATGATCATCACGGGGGATGATCCCGAGTATATTGCCTTTGTAAAGGCCCGTCTTAGTGAGCAGTTTCTTATGTCTGATCTTGGACCTCTTCGCTACTTTCTTGGGATTGAAGTCTCTTCTACCTCTGATGGCTTTTTTATATCCCAGGAAAAGTATATCCAGGATCTTCTTGCTCGTGCTGCTCTTACTGACGAGCGCATTGTTGAGACTCCTATGGAGCTCAATGTTCACCTCCGTGCTACTGATGGTGATCCTCTCCCTGATCCGACGCGTTATCGTCATCTTGTTGGCAGTCTTGTCTATCTAGCTGTCACTCGTCCGAACATCTCTTATCCGGTTCATATTCTGAGTCAGTTTGTCTCTGCCCCCACCTCGGTTCACTATAGTCATCTCCTTCGTATTCTTCGATATCTTCGAGGCACGATCTCTCACCGTCTATTCTTTCCTCGCTCCAGTTCTTTACAGCTCCAGGCCTATTCTGATGCTACGTGGGCTAGTGATCCTTCCGATCGCCGTTCACTTTCTGCTTACTGTGTTTTTCTTGGTGGTTCTCTCATTGCCTGGAAGACGAAGAAACAGCTTGCAGTTTCCCGTTCGAGTGCCGAGGCTGAGTTGCGAGCAATGGCTCTTTTGACGGCAGAGGTGACTTGGTTACGGTGGTTACTTCAGGATTTTGGTGTTTCTGTCACTACACCGACTCTGCTTCTATCTGACAGTACAGGTGCTATCAGCATTGCACGCGATCCTGTGAAGCATGAGCTCACCAAGCATATTGGTGTTGATGCTTTCTATGTGCGCGCTGCTGTGCAGGATGAGGTTATTGCTCTTCAGTATGTGCCTTCCGAGTTACAGTTGGCGGATTTCCTGACAAAGGCTCAGACTAGAGCACAACATGGCTTTTATCTCTCCAAACTCAGTGTTGTTCATCCACCATGAGTTTGAGGGGGGGTGTTAGAGTTATAATATAAGTCATGTACCCCTTTATATTTATCTCGTTGTATGAGGGGTTTCCTGCATATGTTCCACACCTGTACATGTATATATATATCGGCCTATGGCCTCATGGGAATACAAGTTGCATATTCCTAACAATAACCAAGTGGTATCCCCAGAAATTATCCCAAAAAACGAGAGAATGTAATGTGAGAACCAATAGTCCATATTAATTAGAACCAATAATCCAATACTAATTCTTTTCAGTGCATCATTATGATTCAGGATAGTTTTATGCACATTCATAGGTTTCAGTTCTCGGACAAGCTATCTTCCTGAAGTGGTCATAGAAGTTGTGGCAGGATCGGGAATAGGCGATAGTGACTAACCTTCCAAGACGCAGCATCGAGCTATGTAAAGCAACAAACACACGAGTGCTTCCGAATATTTGCTGCATCATCAAATCAAAGGAGGTAAATCTAGCATCCACCCATTATTCAACAGCCCTAGTTATGTTCAGCATCAAGCTATATAAAGCATGAAAATGTGAGTGCTTCCAAATATTTGCTGCATCAAAGCAAAGGAGGTAAATCTAGCATGCACCCATCATTCAACAACCCTAAATATTTTCAAGAGATCTATTTAGTTACTAATAGCACAAAGTAACTAATCACTGAGCGAAGCATTCTATTTTCACTAAGAGAAGTAGTCCTTCAGCCTGAACAAGTAGTATGCACTAGAACCACCAAGTCAAACTACAAAATTGTCCTCACATATAATGAAAACATTCCCATCAAGGAAAGTATTGAAAGTTTACAATTATTGATTATCTACCTAAAGTTAGAGAAGCACATATAATGAAAACATTCTCATCACAGAAAATATTGGAAGCTTATGAACAAGATTATCAGTCTAAAGACAGAGAGTAGAGACATAAATGATCTGGACTCTGTAGAAACAAAATAAAAATAGTATTTGAATGATGAACGTTATGCACAAAAGAACAAAGTACCCTTGGCGATGACCAATATAAGGTAGTGTTATTACCTCATCACTGGGGTAAATAAATGTTGATGGACTTAAGTTATGATAATCTTTTAAGCAATCCAATGGCTTGAACCCTAAAAGGCGAAGATGATGACTTGAAACCCTCTTCACATCAGACAATTCACGAACAGAAAATTTAACAACTTTACTGCACAAACATGAATACATAAGAGTGCTTTAAGATCACAAATATAAGCATCAAACTGAAACAAGAAAACAAATAATGGAAAGATTGGTGAAGAATTCAGGAAGCAGATACTGGAAGTATAACACAAATAAATCTAGAAACCCAAAAAAAAAACATTATTACATGACACTGTATAAACATACGTGTACTTACTCATTGTATAGCTGGAAGCGCTCTTGGGGAGCCTGAAGAAGGGCCCCGGTGTCATTGCATATGAATGACCTTTCAGTCTGTATAAACATCATTCTATGTGTTAAGAAAATGTAAGCAAAAAGCAACTGCAAGAGAAGAGTTGCACTGTAAAATCTTCCCTAATAAAAGGAAGTTAATAACAACAAAAACTCTCACTTCCATAAGATATGCAACATCATCTCATTATGCGAGTACATTCAGGAACAGATTCCGAAGAAAGAAAAAAAGCCCAAAAGATTGTGTACAATATGTGGATGTGTTGAATGTTCTGTTATGCCCAAGAGGCACAGAAATGCTTAATCTATAATAGTACTCCTCTACACAATGGCTAGTCCTTGATCCATTTCCTTTTTGTGTAGCAGACACATGGCATCTCATCCTCAACTCCCTTGAAGGTCAATATATGCATGACCATAAAATAGTAGCTCTATGATCCAATCAGATTATATCATGTAGCTCTCAGATTCTTCAATCATGAATCTGACTAATTCACTGCCACCTTCCGTCCACTAGATCAAATCAAATTTTCCAGATACCAACAGTGTGGCTGTGTAACTTTTCTATCCATTTGACTATTACTCGTTATTAAATATTATTGACAATTTTGCAGCAAAGGCGCAGGGACAAAATACACTTGGAGACGGCTTCGAGAGGGCGTCAGAAAAGAATCCATGACCTGCTGGTGGGGGTGTACGCGCCCACGTTATGGTCATGGCCCTGGGCCATGCAGCCAGCCGGTATGCTCAGGATAACATGTCTGTCCATTCAGGACGGAATAGGATAGACATTAGCTAGTTTGCTAACTATTTGGATATGGCTAGTACCACTAGAGATATAGTAGTAGTTACAGCAGGATAGAAGCATGTGCCATACATGTACGCGGAAACCTGTTCGATTAAGGAAGGTCTTAGGTCTTAATTATTCTTGGTGCATCTTAAGTTTGAATTGAGATCCAACTTGTGGATCAAGTTAGTTGTACTATATAAAGGACTAGCGTGTAACCGTTTTAGGCAATCAATCAGATAAAGTTCCAAATTCGCAAAAAAAAAATCAGATAAAGTTCCAATAAGCCTTAGAGCCTCTCTTCCACATCAAGGACGAGGTGAGTACCCTATCCATAGTTTCCGAACCATTATCCTATTCTTATGCAATTTATCGGGTTGTGGACCAAGGTCCATAACACCCCAAAACCAAACTGTGTGTTTGCATCTCCAGGTGCTTAGGTAAATGCACACTCAAAACATCTGGAAGTGCTGGGTACTGATCCTATACACAGGTTGCATCAATCTTTTGCCCTATCATGGTAAAAGATTGCCGTTGCGTAATCTGGGTCTAAAATAAATCAGTTACCACACTGTCAGACTATAGAATGTTGCATCACGAACCATGAAAACATTTTCACTTCCCGGTCAAACAAACCAAATATCCTTAAAAATTAGAGCACGGAAAGAATTGCTTAGATGCTCTTTCAACATTATCCAAGAGATGGTACTGCATAGCCAGGATGCTATCCACAATTCTGAGCTACCCTCCATATTACAAATATTTGTTCTGGAAATGCCTTCAGTCAAAGTTTTCAAACTTCGATTGTTTCAAATATTTAGATTGAGAACTTGTAAACCATATGCTTACATTTTTTTTTGAGAAGTACTCATGCTATGATAATTTTCTTGTGTTATGTATGGATACTAACTATAGTAAAATTTAGTGGTCAAAGGTAAATCTTGAAGACCATGTCAATATCTGAAACGACATGTATTTGTGATACAGAGGGAGTACGACTTAAGCCCTACCGCAAGCTCGTCACAACTTTTGTAATGATAGCATAACAAACTATGAAGGTGCATCAGCAAAATCCAAAAAAGAAAGCAACAAAGAGCATATATTTTTCATAGAGCATAACTTTACCTTTAACGGAAGGTTACTGATCGAGTCAAGCCACATGATCGTCCCTACAAATATAGAAGTAACACATTTACGCTTAAGTTACAACAACTTGTAAACAAGCATTGGAAAGACAGAGTCAGAGCATACCTGGAGCAGTTGGACGGATTAACGCATATGTGTTCACCTCTATGCAAACATCATTTGTAATTGCAAATGAGAGAGTTTTGACTTTGCGCTTTTTCATCATTCGCTTTCTCAGTTGATCAGTCATATCCTCCAGCCTTCAAAGAACAACACTAGAATGAGGCTCAAAGTAAGTGGATCTAAACCAAACTATCAACTAAAGTAAAGCATAAGCATAACCTCCCATAATGATTAGGGTAACAGACTGGTAGCATAAAAAATATCATGCATACCAAGAGATGCTAAGATATATCTAGAGCCTCCGAAAGCTCTACAGAGTTAGCTAACCATTCTTGTTGATGGACCAAGCAAAAAATCCATTCAAGTCCTTGTTACAGGCACATCAGACCTACAGGCGCAGATCCAGACAGCAACAGCAGCAGCATCTGAACCCACTTTGGACGGTAAGGTGATAATCGACTAGGACTCCTAGTCCTTGTTTCAATGACCCAATCAGGAGATGCGCCTGATTGCAGCCCAGAAGAGTTTGTATCCTAGTAGCAGTCAGCTACATATTAGAGTATTACTAGTTGGCTATATGCAAATTGTGTATAGTATCCTTTCTCTAGGGTCTGCTATATAAGTGCAATGTATAACTAGTTGAATTAAGCAACAAATAGTTTATCCAAGTCACAAGTGTTCAGAGCCTTGCTCCGCGGCTGGGGAAGAGCCATGCCGCGTGTACAACGGTGAACCGCTCTTCCTTATGATCAAACCACAATTCTCTCGCCTACAAATGCATCCACCTCTTCCCTACACCCGAGCACATAATGGTTTTCCAGCTGGATTAGTTCACACAAGAAGTGCACCTGCGGTTACTTAACCTAAATTTCATGCAGAACAGCAAAAAACCTTATGGAAGCATTTGTACACTTAGACAAAGATAACAAGTTTTTTTTTGGCGAGAACAAAGATAACAAGTTAACCATTCAACTTCAGATGTTTTATCCAATGTTCTATAACATGTACTCCCTCTGTAAACTAATATAAGAGTGTTTCGATAACTAAAGTAGTGATCTAAACGCTCTTATATTAGTTTACGGAGGGAGTACAGGACAATGCACAGAGTTGACACCACGGACAAAATTCATGGGAGGACAATAACAAGCGTACATAGTCACAAGAATATATTTGTTCTCAGATCTGGTTCTGAGACACAGATTATCTCCATTCAACAAAGTTGCAAGCTCCCACTCGAGCACCAATATTTGTCTTTTTTTTTCTTTGCACAAAGTAATTAGAAGAATAACATGCCATTGAGTATTAACATTTGTATCAGCAAGACAAAAGAAACAATCAACAAGTAAAATTGGTGCTTAAAGAAAGAAAATTACTTTTCACCAGCAGATGGCACATACTGCAGTACTTCATCTCCCTCCAGACCAATCAAATCCTGGGAGATGGAAGTTGCTTAGCGTTTGGCACTGATACGAGGGGAGAGGGGAGCTGCGAAGACTTACTGCATAAAACAGGGACATGTTGAAATCCTCATCAGGCCTACTCAATGGAAGAAGTTCGATAGACAGGCCCAGATCTTGTGCATCCTGAAACAAGGCAAGTAATTATACAATAAAAACATAAGATCATTAGGACCATAGCATATTAATTTGCATCTGTGGGCTGCTTGGTGTGAAAACAGAATAGATGTATGTGTCATAGACAAACTTTTGCACGTTGAATTGTGGTCCTAATCATATCAGTCTTTGCTGCTCCTGTAATACCACCAAAAGGATCATCCTCATTGGTGAATATGAGGATTCTCTTACTCACAGTCTTCACAGATCTGACGAATGAAAAAAGAAGAAAGGGGAATCACTGAAGTTGAACCAGATGGCTGTTAACCATTACATTAGATGATAGGTTGATAGCTAAAACACCTAAAGGATGCTGCATTCACTAACACGTAAATTCATGCTTCAACATTCAGAAAAACACTGTTAAAGCACCTAAAGTATATTACATTCACTTATAACTAATAAGTATAATGTGCACAATGATCTAACTGATGCAAACTTGATCGTTGTGCATAATGTACAGAAATTTAAGCTTTACTGCTGAACTGTATCCCCCAAGAAAGCTATAGATAATACTTGTCATGTATACAGGCTACACCTCTACAAAGATGTTTTAGGATACTGGAATGTGTCAACTGATATAAACTACGGCATCTGAGAAACAAAGGAGAAAAGTGAAGTTACCCTTTACGCAGCAGTGCCTGTGCAACCCAAAGAGCATTGTACAGGGTATTCTCTCTAGATCCAGAGGTTATTCCATACCGGCTTCCAATGGTATTCATAAAAGAATCTTGCACAAGTGAAAACAAGATTATAATGAAAACAAAATTGCTGAGTTCTCTCATAGACAAGTATCCTACTCCAATTTTATCCATAGAGCCTTTCTGTTCAGGCCAAAACAAAATGAAATAAACATCATGCTTACAATGTTCATGTACTACTAATGATATTTCCTAGCTAACTTTCTAAAACACATTTGCCTTACAATTTTTCAGTGACCAAGAGAATACAAAAGATGAAATCAACACGAGATGTAAAAGGCCAGAATCAGTTGAGATAATACAATGTCTGAGTTTCAGTCTTGTAGCATGAGTCATACGGTATAAGTAAACCATCCAACTGTACAATTTCAAATTTTCTGCTAGTGTTATGTACAAATCTGCTACATGGAAGTAGTAGCCCAGCATGCATATCACTCGAACTCCGATCAGCTGTGCAAAAAGTACAATTCATTAAGTAGCATTACCTTCTACACAAGAAAATTCTTTAATCAGTCTTGCATCAGGTCTATCAAGTTGCTCTCTTTCTGTGACATTGTAAACATATACACCAGCCAGCTCCTGTAAATTTTTCTTTTCTTTCTGCAAGAGTTATGTGATAGCTATATCAAAGAAGAGTACCATGTAACATTAGCAGTTCCACTTCGTAAGTGTTCAAGGAAGTTGCACTTTTTAAGGAACATCATAAAAAGAATCTTATCAGATCTTAGTAATCTATACACGGTGCAAGACAAACAGTTTAGCTCAAATTTCACACATTTAACTGTTCAATAGACAAAAGAACAAATCATAGAAACATGTCATTCTTTCAACACCTGGCAGTTCTAATCAGTTCATTTATTGATGAATGAAAGTGGATTTCAAAGACATAATTGAAATCTTCAAGTTCAGTGTCCATTCATCAGGCCTAGTAACAGCAGATCTATCAAGTAAAACTAGGAAGCAAAGTTGTCACAGAGAGCAATACACCAGCGAAGATTAAGGTCTCAACTAGCAGGTTGAAACTCGAAAACCTCGCCTTTGCCTGGTCCAAGCAATCACTTGCAGTAAAATCAGAGGACTTGGACCAGCAAATAAATAAACTAATAACTAATCAAGCATCGAGTTAAAGCTTACAACTATGAATAGCAACTTACGGTGTTAAAGAAGCATATTGCAACTTCATCACGGGATCTCCCGATAATCTGCGTCTTCAGAGACTGCGTGATGCAGTTCACTATGGTATGGAAATGTGTCTCCTGCTTTTCATCTGGCTGCAAGAAACGACAAGACCAAAACGCTACATTACGTAGTAAACGAATATAACCACGGACCATTGTATTCCCCAAAAACAATTCATTCTGAAACATAACCTAGAGTCCTAGATCAGAAGCAAACCCTCGAAAGACTAGCTACCTACTTTGCTTCTGCCGAAGACCAGGCATACTACTTGTAAGTTGCACCACTTAGAGAAAGCTATGGTCAAAGTACATGTTACATGCTGACTTAATTACAGAATCAACAATGCTCTGAGGCTGTGAAACTATGCGCATATAAGCTGCTTGTGCTTCACCTTGGCGGCGTTGGCGGGTGTGAACATCTTGGGCGAGGCGTCTATGAGGTAGACGACCATCTCCTTGTTGGCCTCCCTCTCCTGCATCCAAAACCACCACCACGCTAGCATCAAAACAAATCGCGACGCGCGCAGCAATCGAACCCAAGATGGAAAATGGGGGAAAGGATAGCGCGGAGCAGGGAGCATACATGGAGGTTGTCGTCGTCCTCGTCGCTGTCGTCGCGGAAGATGCCCTCGGGGTCCAGGTCCATGGCGCCGACCGGAACTAGCACTCGCGCGGGGAAGAAGGGGGTGCGTGGGGAACCCTTCCGATAGCTTCTGGAACCCTCCTGGTCGCGGAGAGACGAGGCGAGGCGAGGCGAGTCTTCCTGGTCACGGGAGTCGCAAGGCGAGGCGGTGGCGTCCGGGTACTGGACGAGCGGTGGCGTCCGGGTACTGGACGAGCGGCGGCGCCTCGTCGGCGGAGACCTGGAGGAGCGGCGGCTGGCGGGAGTGGGGGAAACTTGGGGACGAGTTTTTTTTTCTTTTTTGGACGGCGGACACGGTCATATATTGGCAGAGGCCCGGTCCACTCCAGCGGTCCAGCCCAGCTGTCAGCCCACATCCACGACTCCACTAGTAGAAAATTCTTGATTGTTTCAAAAAAATAGAAAATTCTTGATAAATGTCACACATGTTACAAGAGCACATGACAATTTCAAACGTTTTTATTGTAAGTTTAGTGACGCGAGAATCACAATTTTAGTTATCAAAAATGCCAACTTTCTTTCTGACAACAAGTTTCAGTCTTTTTTGTTTGTTTTTTCCTTTTCAGATGACAACTTTAAATGTAAAAAACGTTAGGATTGCTTCATGCCATAACACTTATCATTTGAGTTAAAATAACCTTATTCTAATGCAGACTATATAAAGAGCAAAATGAATGAATCTACATTCTGAAATACATTTAAAAATGGAAGGAGTACATACGCATTTTAGAGTGTAGATTTGTACGTAGTCCGTATTAAAATATTTAAAATATCTTATATTTAAAAATGGAGGAAGTACAATGCATATAAATGAATCAAATAAATGATTAATGTCGCCTTCAAGGTTGAAGCTTATTTCTTCCTTATATGTTCGGACTTGTATAGGTGCCCAGCAGGCTAGACAGTCTGGACTCCCCCAAATTCAGACCATAGGTATTGGAGAAAATATGATTGTTGGACTATCTGACATGTTGTCTCCACCACGCGGGCCCTACACAAAAAAAAACCCACCCAACGACGCACCCTTTCCTTTTCCTGTCGGACTCTCCTCTTCTCGCTCAATTTCCCGCCATAGTAGAAATTTTTGCTGTAGCGCTCTCCTTTAAAACTAGATGACACCTACCTCACCTTCACCATGGGGCTACGGTGGGAAAAAATGCATGTGCGTTACTACGGGTAGAAGGCGAGAAATGCCACGAGCACGTTACAACAAGTGCTAAAGTTCATCTCCCATACCCCACCTTTTCATTTACCACTGTATTCTCTAGCATGCTTAAGTTTTGACGATCAAATGGGAAGGCTATATTAAAACACTTTCAAAGAAAAACAAATCATATGATGCAAGTGTTAGATATATTTTGTTTTGATGATAAGAAACATCATATTGGGTCGAGGAACTCCTTTCTTCGTTGTAATCTCATAAATAATGCAAGAGAGCTATGATGGTTTTTCTTCGATGGAAATCAATTATTTGAAGGAAAACTTAAGCAATACCACTCACAACTAACTAAAATGAAACGTAAACTCTATGAAGATGCAAAATCTTGTATAGAAAGAAAATAATAAAATCTTTTTTTATAAAAGTAGACCGTCTTTAGTAACATCCCGCGAAAAAACCCTCTTAAATAGCATGTCCGCCCACGCCCACAACCTGAGACGCCGTCACCTCCTCTGCCACGAGGAACGGACAAGAAGCTCAAGCACGGCTGAATGGAGCGGATCCAGACACCGGATGTGAGGAACATCTCCGCCTACGCACTGGCCTAGGGATGCCACTGCCACCTAGCGCACTTAGATGTTGCGGGCGCCGCCATTGCCACCCGCTACTTCACGATCGCTATGGTCGCCACCACTACGAGGTGTTTAGAAGCTATTATTCATTGTATTATTGCTCACCAGATTATTTTCAATTCAACAAAAGTCATACTCAAATATCATATTCTATAGCAAACCACTTAATTTCAAGAAACACAAAAGAGGTCTAATCGACAACAATTCTATTACTGCCATGCATCAAATTTCATATTCATCTGTGGCCGCCTCCGTGGAGGCTCCTGCGACACATCAACAACAGAAAGACCGAGTGTGTAGGAGCCGAATCAAGCAAGTGTTGCAAGATAGACAACTTTAAATCGTCGGGGAAGAGCATGACGCCACAACTCGTTCATCTCCTCCTTCTCTCCTTGTCCTTGAGCTGCCATAGAGTAGGCACACGTCATTGTCAGGGGCCGGAGGCGCTCACCATGGTGGAAGAAGGGTGACATCCATAGGTAGGCCGCCGCCTTCGTGACGAGGATCAGCCGAAAAGCCCGGGCACGGCTGAATGGAGCTGATCCAGACGCCAGCTACGAGGAGCATCTCCTCCCACCCGCTAGCACAGGGTCGCCGCCGCCACCTACCACACCGAGATGTTGCGGTCGCCGCTATCGTGACCCACTGCTTTTGCGATGCTCCTATGGCCTCCACCACCGCAAGGAATGCCTGATAAGCTATTCTTCATTGTATCATTGCTCGCCAGATTATTTTCAGCTCAACAACCGTCATACTCAAATTTCAAATTTTATAGCAAATCATTTAATTTCAAGAAACACAAAGAGGTCTAATAGACAACAATTCTATTACTGTCATACACAAAAATTCATATTCGCGGGCCGCCACCTCCGTGGAGGCTCCCGTGACACATCAACAACAGAAGGACCGAGTGTGGAGGAGCCGAATCGAGCAGGTGCTACAGGGCACACGACTTTAAATCTTCGGGGGAGAGTGTGATGCCAAAACTCCTCCACCTCCTTCATGTCTGGCTCTTGAGTTGCCGCAAAGCGGGCACACGTCATTTTCATGAGTCGGGACGCTCACCATGGCGGATGAAGGGTGTTATCCATAGGTAGGTTGCCGCCTCTGTCACGAGGAACGACCAAGAAGCTCGGGCATGCTGAATGGTGTGGATCCAGACGCCGGTTGTGAGGAGCATCCCCACCCACATGCTGGCCCAAGGTCGTCGCCACCACCTACCGCTCCGGATGTTGCGATTGCCGCCATCGCCACCCGCTGCTTCGAGATGCCGCTATGGCCGCCACCACCGCGAGGAATGTCTGACAAGCTATTCATCATTTTATTATTACTCGCTAGATTATTTTCAGTTCAACAACTGTCTCAAATTTCATATGATTTGGCAACACATTTAATTTCAAGAAATACAAAGAGGTCTAATTGACAACAATTCTATTACTGTAATAAATCAAATTTCATATTCGCTGGCCGGCGCCTCCGTAGAGGCTCCTGTGACACATCAAATACAGAAGGACCGAGTGTGGAGGAGCCAAATCGAGCGGGTGTTGTTGTTGGAAATATGCCCTAGAGGCAATAATAAAATGGTTATTATTATATTTCCTTGTTCATGATAATTGTCTATTGTTCATGCTATAATTGTATTAACTGGAAACCGTAATACATGTGTGAATACATAGACCACAACATGTCCCTAGTGAGCCTCTAGTTGACTAGCTCGTTGATCAATAGATGGTTATGGTTTCCTGACCATGGACATTGGATGTCATTGATAAGGGGATCACATCATTAAGAGAATGATGTGATGGACAAGACCCAATCCTAAGCATAGCACAAGATCGTGTAGTTCGTTTGCTAAAAGCTTTTCGAATGTCAAGTATCATTTCCTTAGACCATAAGATTGTGCAACTCCCAGATACCATAGGAATGCTTTGGGTGTGCCAAACGTCACAACGTAACTGGGTGGCTATAAAGGTGCACTACGGGTATCTCCGAAAGTGTCTGTTGGGTTGGCAAGAATCGAGACTGGGATTTCTCACTCCGTATGACGGAGAGGTATCTCTGGGCCCACTCGGTAATGCATCATCATAATGAGCTCAAAGTGACTAAGTAGTTAGTCACGGGATCATGCATTACGGAACGAGTAAAGTCACTTGCCGGTAACGAGATTGAACGAGGTATTGGGATACCGACGATCGAATCTCGGGCAAGTAACATACCGTTTGACAAAGGGAATTGTATACGGGATTGCTTGAATCCTTGACATCGTGGTTCATCCGATGAGATCATCGTGGAACATGTGGGAGCCAACATGGGTATCTAGATCCCACTATTGGTTATTGGCCGGAGAACGTCTCGGTCATGTCTACATGGTTCCCGAACCTGTAGGGTCTACACACTTAAGGTTCGGTGATGCTAGAGTTGTTATGGGAAATAGTATGTGGTTATCGAAGGTAGTTCGGAGTCCCGGATATGATCCCGGATGTCACGAGGAGTTCCGGAATGGTCCGGCGATGAAGATCGATATATTGGACGAAGGGTATTGGAGTCCGGAAGTGTTCCGGGGGTACCAGGTTATGGCCAGCATGACTGAAAGGTGTTTCGGGAGCCCCGGCAAGTGTTGGAGGGCCTCATGGGCCAAAGGGGAAGGGGTAAACCAGCCCACTAAGGGGTGATGCGCCCCCCACACCCTTTTCCCACGTTATTTGGGGAGGTGGGGCGCCTCCACCTGGCTTGGGAGGCAATCCTCCACCTGCTTAGCTTGGGGGGCAAGTCTCCCTAGGATTTTCCCTAGGGAGATCCAATCTGCTTGGCCGCCGCCCCCTAGGGGAAACCCTCGGGCGCCTCCTCCTCTTCCCTTGCCCCTATATATAGTGGAGGGGGGAGGGCAGCCGCACCTCTTCCCTGGCGCAGCCCCCTCCCTCCCCCAACACTTCCTCCTCCTCCGTAGTGCTTAGCGAAGCTCTGCCGAAGAACCATGAGCTCCATCACCACCACGCCGTGTTGTCGGAGTTCTCCCTCAACTTCTCCTCTTCCCTTGCTGGATCAAGAAGGAGGAGACGTCCCCGGGCTGTACATGTGTTGAACGCGGAGGCGTCGTCCGTTTGGCGCTAGATCGGATCTACCGCGATTTGAATCGCCGCGAGTATGACTCCTTTATCCGCGTTCTTGCAACGCTTCCATATCGCGAACTTCAAGGGTATGAAGATGCACTC